AACTCCTCGATATTTCCCCCCGATCGTGTGCCCCTCCGTTCCTTCGGTCCTGCCAACCTTCACCCGGTTCTCGGATCATCGACGTAACGACGTCGAGATCCGAGATCGGGACACGCACGGGCCCAACGGGGCCGATTTCCCCCCCCAGGGGGTCCGACAATTAACATAATAAGGTACAGGAGGTTGATATTAACGCGAGGTTAGTTAATAGTGCACTTACCCGGGGGGAAGGTAAATAGTCCGCGGTTTTGCGGATCCCCCGGTTCAGTGCACTCGCGGATGCAACGAAAATACGGTAAGAACGACTGTGTTTCGACGTATAAAAAATTGTTCAATCGTCTGATAACGACTTTAAAATACTTCTCAATCGGTGGGATATGTAGCGATGCCTTGGTAACGTATGGACATATGCGTAAAGAGCGTCGATAATGTTTCGAAGCGGGTTGAAAATAATTTTTTTTGGATTTTCTTGAAAAGTCCCTTTAAAGAAAATCGACTCCTCTCTCTCTCCTAGATCCGAAGGCACGGAAAGGGTGATGGAAAAATCGGGAACCCTCGTTTCTCACGATCCGCAAGTGTACAATCCGTGTACGTCGGGCAATGCCCAATTACGGTCGGCAGCTTTCTTCGACGTCAATTAATCGGGACGGATCGAATCCCTCGATCGGATGCTCGAGGAACCTGGGCCAACGATCTTGAGTTACGTTTCCCGAGATTTCTTCTTTTTTTTTTTCTCTCCCTTTTCCCCCTCTCGAAAATTCGTAGGATATTCTCAGGCGCAAGGCTCGACGCGAGTCACATGGCGTCTCGGTTTCGGCTTAAAGGCTTGATGTCTTGATTTCCGGGAGAGACTCGCATAATTTCGCAACAGCTGGATCCGACATAAGCGGACCAATCGTACCCATCTGCCGGGTCGAACCTCCCGTTTTTTACATTTTAGTTATACATAGCCACGTATACGGAAACACACCCAGCCGCGTGTGCCCACCTTCACTACACACATCGTATCTCGTCCATTCTCACGACTTGAAAGGTGCCCGTGGTGCGCGGCGTCACTCTTCCACGTAATGATCCGCAGTTGCGGAGGGAGGAGAGGGGGGGCCGTCGAGGCGGCAATTTGCAGGTGCAAAGTTCACGCAAAGTCGGTCGAGGTAGACCACTAATGACCGGAGCCCCATTGTGGATTTTCCGGCGGGCAGACTCTACCGACCCGAGGCGCGATATCGACGTATTATCCATCAAAATCGAATCAAAAGCCCTACCTCAACAATCGAGTCCGAAAAACCGGCGCCAAAGGGTACTCCGTGACATCCCACCGCGCGAGCCCTGTGCGCCGCCATTTTGAGGACGCGCCGAAAGAGGACGCTCCCTTCGAGACGTCGACATAACAAAGGGAAAAGAAGAAAAAAAGGAAAAGGATCCTCCCGAAGGCTCGACTCGAGAGGCAATCAACCCCGCGGAAGGTTCTCTCTTTTGTAGGCGGACTACGGTCCTTGGTGGCGCCTCTCGCGGGATATAAATTAATTAGATTTGTGTGGAGGGTGTGTCAGCGCGCGCCCGCGGAGTGCCGGCACGCCGTTCCTATATCCCGGCGTCCGTTTGCCCGTTTTTCGGCGCGTCCGTCCGTGAAAGGAAGACCTTACGGAACTTACAGGCCCCGGCAAAAGTAATGGCCCGACTCGAAAGGCCGGGTCAAAGCCAATGTAGCCGTTACTTTAATGCCGACCTGAGCTAAACGCGCGAGAGATACGGAATCGGACGATAGGGCAGCTACGCCGCGTCGCGCGACCCGCGGCGGCCATCTTGGTTTCTCTGACCGAGGATCATTGGGAATTAAATCGGCTTCTTTTCGTTTTTACAAACGCATGGTGGGTGGATACCATAGACATTCGGTCTCTCTGCAGGTTCCCAGGTAGGAATCGGTAGGCGCGCCAAAAATTACTCCTCTCAGAGGTACAAAAATGAGAGTTCGCAGGTGGTCGTAAAGCCGGCGGGTTTTCGACGCCACCGACGGGGGGCGATATTGCGTCTTTCTGGAGGAGACTGTAGCCGAGCAGGTAGGTCCGTGAAGAACGCGTGATGTATGGTTGGCGTTAAACGAGACTAGTAACATAGTAACGTTTATTATATTGGCAGCGGTTAGCCGGGGCGACGAGCGTCTACGAGTTGAACATACCAGTGCGCCAGGTAACCCGAAATACCGACAAAATTATACACAACAATGGCGCAATAGTCCCGACCACCCCAATAATCGGTGAAATAAATACTAAAGATCGTGATATACCTAGAGTTTATTTAACTACGCAATAAACGTGCTTAGACCTCCTCAAGAGACACTCGCTCGGGAGGAATTTCGTTTACCCGCATAAAATTTCAATTTTTAAAAATTTGTTTATACGTTTTATTAATTTTCTTTTGTATAGATTGAACGAGTGCCAGGACTTATCTCGAGGTCTCCACGCTCACGTGGTGAAATTTAGAAGGGCTCGGTACACCTGGTTAACAGAAAAGTTTTATAAATTGACTTCATGGACGTTGTTTTCGTATCACCTTAAAGGTTCTCCCTGGAGAGTCCGTTCATCTGGTCAGGTTGACAAACCTCTCCACGTAGGAACACTTAGACCGAATAAAAACAGTCGAGTACATTGATGATAAACAATCAACATACGTCCCATAAATTCCGTACTCACGTTAATGGCGTTTAGGGATGTCGGGCTGCCGGCCCTGCGGCCCCCGCCGCCCCCGACTTCGGCCTCCAGGTCGTCTTGGATGTCCTGACGCGTGGCCGTCCCCGAGTCCGGGGACGCAGCCTGAGAGATCCTTCGCAGGTCCTCAGCTCTTCTCCCTTGGTATTCAACAAGGACCGCGGCCCCCCGCGAGGTCCTCCGCGGCGGAGAGGCCGGGACGCGGGAGCATCCTCCAAGATCGACCTCGAGGCGGCTTCCGGGCAGCTTCCTGGCCCTGATAAGTCCGATCCCCGGCGCGATATCATCCACGAGTCGCTCACCTTCCCCGGAGGTCCTGGATGGTTCGACTTTTCACACTCGCGCGTAGGAGACGGCGACAAAAATCGTAATACGACCGGACGAAGTTCCAGGACTCGCGCGCACCAGGAGCTCACCGTGCCGCGCCCGAGAGAGAGAAAGAGAGGGAGAGATAAAGAGAGAGAAATTCCTTCCGCGTGCGATTAGGAACTCGTCGGACGACGGACTGAGTACTTAGGGGTCGGAGGGGTGACGGCGTCGATGGCCGCGGTCGCGGTCACGTGGTCGTCGGTGGCGCGATTCCCGACAGGTCCGGGCCAATGGCGAGGCGCGTCCGGTCCGGCGGCCGGAACCGGCGCGAGACCGGCACCCCGGCCGGAAGGGGCCAACAGGCGCGGCGTTTCCCCTGGGCCCGGGCGACGAGCCGCGTGGCCTCGACCAATCGCGCGGTCCTTTCCGTTAGACCGGTCCACCGGACGAGACCCGCATACGTGCGGGCGCCCCGAGGTGCTCGGAGTAGCCGACTCGTCGAGACCCGCCGGTCACGTCTCCATTCCCGCGAGGTCGGCCGAGGGGGCAGGGGCGCGTCCGCGAGGGTCCCCGAGCGCACTAGGTCCGCCACGTGGAGGTGCCGGCCAGAGTTGCGGGACCGCGTCCGGGAACGAGCCGGCCCTCTCTTTCGATCTCTTACACTTACTAACTTTGCGTTCCGCGGGTTCCGCGTACCCGGTTGAACGCGACTCTGGAATTGCCGTGGCGCCACCCCACCCTCCCCCTCCGCGCCCCCTCGCGGCGTGCCTCCTTCCACTCCTGGAAACCCCCGCGGTCCGCCCGCATGCCCTCCCGCTCTGCCCCGCTCTCCCTCGCTCCCCTTCTCCTCCCCCTCGCTCGCCGTCTCGCTCGCTCCGCCGCCCCGCCCGCGCTCCCTCTCTCTCGCTCCCTCGCCCTCGTCTCCCTCCTGTATTTCCCTATAATTTACTCCGCGGGCCGCGCGGCCCGCTTTTTGTTTTATTCCACTTTTGTACCCTCTCTATTGCCTACGCGCCAGCCATGAATCTTTGCCGGGGCCGAGCGCGCACCGCCCCTTTAATAGCCCCCGGACGACCCGGGCTCGGCACGCTGCCGCCATCTGACGGCGCTTCGCGAAACTTCCGAGCCAACCTGCCCCCTGGGACGCGCTCTCGACAATACCGATGCGAGGCCCTCCTTCTCTTGAAAATTCTATTTCTCGAAAAGGGTGATCGGGGGGTGTTCGCTCCTTGTCTTGGGGCATGATGTTTATTGGGCTCTTTTTATTCGAGGACTTGGAAGGAACAGAGGGACCCGAAACGGGTCCAAGTTCCGAGATCTTCTGCCGAACTCCACATAATAACGAATCATCCCCTCGTCATATATCAGATTCTGACATCTTCCTGTCACACGATACATCCTCCAACACGCCCTCGCGGGCCCACAATATCCCCGGGGTCCATCCCTCGGGAAGCCCGCGCGATTCCCGACGTGCCCGGCAGGTGTCTTCCAGACCCTCCCGCGGGAGCCTCTTCTCGACCTCCTAGACACGTACATCTGCTCATCCGAATGTCAAGTCTTAAGGATATCCCGACATATTGCCACGGGGGTGAAATCATAAGCCGTTGTTTCAGGAGTCAGTCGCTTTTAATCTCTAACGATAGACTTATAAGTTACAACGCTCGGCGTAATTTACATCAATGTACAATAGGGTATTTACAGGTAATTACAATTAGAGATCAGGAACTATCCGAGATCGGGCCGAGGCCAATGCGGACAGGTTTTCAGAGGTGAGGATTCCCATCCCCAACCAAGATGCGGACTCGTTGATGAGCGGAATTGATCTTGGTCTTGGTCTTCCAAAAAGTACTACTCATCCCCAGGAGGCCTCGACCTTCTCCTCAAGGCACATTCTTCTTCGACGGCTTTCATCGCCTCCTCCTACATGGCGTAATGTCCAACAGGAAGCTGGACCAAGGGACCGTCGTGGTAGTCTTGGTAGCGCGTCATCCCTGGTGCACCGTACCTGGCACCATCTCCTGGAGGCATCTTCTTCAGCAATAAAATTCATGATTCCTTCCTACGCCAGGGCGTAATGTCCAACAGGAAATTGGACCACAGGACCCTCGTCCTCCCTCCCAGGAGGGATGCTGTTCTCCTTGTTCGCCTCCTTCTTCCCCGACTTCCTCCTCTGGTTCTCATGGGTCTTCACGTGCTTCGTCAGGTGGTCGCTCCTCATGAACCTCTTCCCACAGGTGGAGCAGGAGAACCTCTTCTCCCCGGTGTGGGTGCGAAGGTGCCGCTGGAGCTCGTCGCTCCTGGTGAACCTTTTCCCGCAGAAGAGCCAGTTGCAGATGAAGGGTCGCTCCCCGGTGTGCCACCTGAGGTGGGCCTTCAGGTGCGAGGTCTTCCCGTACACCTTGCCGCATCCAGGAACGTGGCAGAGGTGTTGCCTCTTCCCGTCAGCCCCCAGCTGATTCCCGCCATCCACCTGACAATTGGGGCACCTGCACCTGGTGCACTTCCTGCCCTGCTTGGCGTCGTCCTGCGACGCCAGGAGGTGCTCCGAAGGTGGAGTCAAAGGCCACTGATAGGCAGCCGCGTGTCCACTCTGAGGACTCGCAGGTAACTCAGGTGGACTAGGAGGCAGAGGATAATGCTGAATGGCAGGACCCAGTTGAGCTTGGGCTGTCCAGGAACACGTACTCGCTGCCATTGTTGACATCGTGTATGCCGGCGCTGTCAACGGCTCCGACATTTGACTGTGACTGCTGCTCGTCCCAGGAAACCAGTAACTGGTCTGCCCTCCACTTTGCAGGTGATGGTGCGACCCCATAGGAGGATTGTAAGCCTGGTGATAGTGCATCCCCGATGCACCGTACTCCATCACGTGGTGCTGGTGCATGGGCATCGACAGACTCGACATCGCTGTCATCCCTGGCATCGGTGACATCGTCGGCATGCACATCTGCAAGAAAAGACGCCGTTCAATGTTGGCGCTCTGCGTCCTCCTTAGCCTGAACAGCGCTGCGCTACCACGGCCGATTCCGCCTCAACCGTTCGTAATCTTAAATAATGTTCCTTATAAAAGTTCCTCGGTATATCCCTGGGAACAACTTTCATTCGGATCATTTTCTGGCATCATGCATCACTGGGCGGGAAAATCGTAGGAAAGGAGCGCGATCGTGATTGGATACACATCGCGCTCGACGGCGCGGTTGTACGCTAACGGGGTACAAGAGTGTTAACAGTTTTATTTATGTTCCAGGTGTTTGGGTAAATGTTAAGGCTTGTATCTGCTTCAGCCTAGGCCTCTTCTAACGTGGAGAGGGCCTCGCTACGTTACGAAAGTCGAGCGTCGCAATTTCTACGTCGATAATCGCACGTTGCGCGAACGTCTCGACATCTCTCGAGAAACGTCGACCTCCCGGTTCATGCAGGTTATGAATCAATATCGTGCCGATAATCGTTATTGCCTCGTTGGAGTCGACCGGTTCGCCACCGGTTGTCCAGCAACACGCGATTTCCCGAGGCCGATGTCGGCAGAAAAAAACACCCCGATCGGTGAGCCGTGCCGACGGCGAGATCGAGGGAGATATCGAAAAAGAAATACGGGAAATCTTACTAACTCACGTTAGCCGATTAACATTTACGACAACCTGGTTAACCGAACGTGCCTGGATGGAACTACTTCGGGAAGATCAATCGTAGGTGCGGAAAGAATAATCCATTCATTGAATAAAGTCGTTCGATGCGGTTCACTTAAGAAACCGTCTCGGTAGAGCGAACCGAAAGTTAGTTCGCTCTCCCAGACTCGTTTATTTTATTAATCCACTACCGATCGTTCAATTAATACCGGAAGACATTTCAATCAACGTAGAAAATACTCTGAATCAAACGTGCCAGGTTTGTCATTTAATTAGATCTACCATTAAATCTAAGCGACATTAACCGAAGGCTCGAAATATTTCTTACAGCGTACAGAACGTACCGCCCTAAACTAACCGCGTAAATCAACATTGAGGAATATTGATCGGTATTAAAATGTCGAAAATTGAAGAATAGTGTACAAACTCGCACCTGCTGGTACTGCATCACTTGGGCCATGACGTCGGATCAGCCTCGGAGTTCCTGCCCCGTCCTGGAGTCCCTCTTGGCCCTTGGCCCTCCTCGGATTAATCCACGAATCACTGGCGAGTCTTGATTACCACATCGAGCCCAAATTGCAGCGAGCAAAGGACCACAAATTAAACGACCGTCGACATGCAGAAAACCTCGCCGGGAGAAACGATTCCGCGTAAACTTTCCTCCCGTGACATCGGTCGATCTTCCCTGCGGATAGGGGAATATCCGCAGAACCGTCGCGGAGTGTGGAAATCTCGGCTTCGGCTTCCTGCTCCTAGTTCTCCCTTTTTAGGTCCGAGGAACCTTCGGGGACGAAGGTCCAGGAGATAATTGCCGGTTGGCGAGCGTGTCGTCTCGGTTTTAATAACCGAGTGGACAACCGAGGAAGAAGGAGGTTGGAAGGGGCTCTACGGGAGTCCGGTGTAACGGGGGGTGTAGCCCATGGTGGGGATCCGAGGATGGTCTATGGTGGATGGTGCAGGGCACGGCCTGCGCATGCGCCCTCCCCACCACGATCCCATAAATCAACCCCCGAAGGGGATCGAGGGATCCAGCGGCGGAGGATAGAGAGACCCTTTGTGGCTGGAGGGTCTTACCTCTCGACCTTCTCGCTCCCACCTTCGGGCAAGGGGATCCTTTTATGTCTTCCTCCTTCTCGCTCTCCTGCCGATTCTGGCCCTAGGTAGAGGGACTTCTTAAGGTCTACGATATGGCGCGAGCCTTTCTCTGGAATGCCCACGTTTCGGGAAGGCTCCATTTGTCAGCCCCTTCGAGCGAATGCCGCCACCTACACTAATGAAGGACTGCCCTTAACGACCTTAATCGATGTGACCCTCGATTTCGGTGCCTCGATCGATTCCTCCGAACGGAGCTTAATCTCCTATGACCTCTTCCAATCGCTGCAAAAATCTGATTTAGGTGTCCATCATGAGGCGTAATCCAACAATTATAATAATTTGGTCTCTGTAGAATTTTTTTTCTTCCCTCTGGACACTTTTCATCCTAGTGAAAATCGATAATTTTCACTAATTCACCAGGGTAGCGAAGATGTCGAGAATGTGACATCGTTTCTTGGATTGGCTGCAACCTATTCAGAAAGTCCGATTTCCTTGGGACTCCCAGTCGTTGCAAAAATCTGATTTAGGTGTCCATCATGAGGTGTAACCCAATAATGATAATTGCACGGTATTTGTGGAATTTTTCTCCGATCTCTCGAGGCTTTTTTTCCCCCAATGTAAACCCGTCACCTTCGTCGAGTTCGGCAAAGCGTTCCCGAAGACAGGCGCGTCCTCTCGATTTCGGTGTCGCGCCGCCACCCTCGTCTTGTCGCGATTATGCCGGCATGTTCGCGAAATGTACACGCATTATGCGTCGATTATGAAAACACATAAGACACGGGACGTCCAGGGCGAGGTAGCGGTGTCGCGAGCGTAATTACAGGCGTTTCGCGAGCGAGCTCGCGCGTATGTGCAACGCCTTGCTTGCGGTTAATTATGTCGAGTACTGGCGCGTAGAAGAATCTCAACTCGTTGAGTAAGACCCCCGAGCCACTTATTTGTCCACCCGATTAAAAAATCCCGGGCTAAGCGTATGCAAATTTCGGGGATCCCACGAGAAACGTCTCTTTTCCTCGAAGGCGCGCATTCGCATCGAGATCGATACTTGGATCGTTATCCACTATCAAAGCATCATCGTCACGTCGGATTTATCTCGGTACCATAAATTGCGCATTGCGATTAAATGTCATAAATATAAATAAATCCGAAATTCGTCCACACTCTCGGTACCACCACTCGCACGTGGTCCGTCACCGAAGCTATCAACCGATCATCGGATTCAGAAGAGAAACCGTGACGTGGTAATTTTGTCAATGGAGCCAAGGAGCAAGACTTTCCCATGGCGATCCGAGTTCATCCACAGTCTCGGTACCATAAATCCGTAAAGGTCCTGGACCATCTCGATTGTCCCGAACGGTACCGGCCGACGACCTAAAGATTCCAGGGCTTTCGCTCCCGGCTCACAAAGTCACTGGGTTTATGGTGGCTGTAAAGTGATTATCGTCGGCTAAGGTGACGACACTTTTGCGCTACCGATACAAGGGGGCCATTATTAGGCCGACACAAAGCGATCGGACACGTTCGCGAAGGGTCCGGACAGCTTCGGACCGTTCACAGCGATCTGCCTCCTACAATGAGGGACAAATGGGCTGCACTATGCGCCGACATCCCCCGTTTGTCTCGAAGAAAATCGGTACCATTCGGGCCTAACTAGGAAATCCTTGCAGGTGTGAAAGTGCACCTTCGGTCGTGGGCAGTGCATCGAGAAAAAAAAAGAAGGGTTCCCATGAAAGTGAAGGGGACCCTACATGGGGACGTTCGGGACGAGGTATCTCCACACTTTTGGCAATCTGGATCTCTGTTTGTTCAGCCTCCCTTATCTGTACCCTTTTCAGGCGCATCGGTGCATCGTAGATAATGCAATCTCCTCGAGTTCCCCGGTAGCCTTTGGCGATGGATCCTCTAGGGAGGATCCATCGATCATCGAGGAAATTTTTAGCTACTTAAAACCACCCCTGTCGAGCCCTTCCCTCGTTTTTCCGGCGAAAGGACGAAGCGAAGGCTCTCTTTCGAAAGGCCCTTCTGTCCCGCTGCTCGCAGGAACACCCTGGGTCCTGCTGGACGACACATGTCCAGGTTGGTCGTAAATCTGACAAGTTGGCAGCGCCGTAAGAAATTGCAAACCCGGTGCCCAGGCCCTGCGCAACCCTTCTTCCATTGGCTGGTCGGCCAGGGCCACATTGTCCACTAATAAGCCGCTTAGCGACTCCACGAGGGGTAAATTGCACCCCTGGTAAACACTACTCCCACGTGGAGCCGCAACCGACGCCCAGGAGGAACTCGAGCACCGCCCAAATTTTGCGGTTTCCCTCGTTTTTTACACCCTCGGGATGATTTACGGACGTGTCCATTGCCCCTTCCCGAGTTAATAGAATTATAAGTGACGGATCTTAGAAGGGTCGCACCTCGACTCCCGAATTCGCTTATAACTGGTAAAGCCAGGGCGGCCATCTTGGATTTTGCCATCAAAGGCGAAAAATCATATAAAACACCCTGAAGACATTTTACGAGGTAAATGTTTGTCAAAGGAAATTCCGACGCTAAAAGACTAAGCATTTACTAGATATATTGGCTGCTTGGTTTATGATATCGGTATAACGCTCCCATATCGACGAAAACTATAGAAAGTAGCCAAACACTCGTTGGGAATTTTCTCGTCTCTGAGATCGAAATCCAAGATGGCGGAGCTGATTTTTCTGGACCCTTAAGGGAAAATTTCAATGTACGGATACAGGGAGCTTATCCTTCACGCGTAGATGACTTAACTTGCTTAGGCCACTTCCAAGCGGTAATTGCAAGCCAAATACTCCGGAAAAAAGCTCGTGGTTAAAAAGTAGCTAGGGGATCGTTAGATCTATGTTGGAGATACGGCAAAAGAGAGCATCGCGTGCCAAACTCTTCGCCGCGGTTCTGCACACGACGTTACTGGACTTTCATTTTGCTCGTTCGAGTGACCTGCTTTGATGGATCTTTGAGAAAGTCCTGGGAAGGTTGGACCCTTCCGCAGGACCTGATTCTGGGTCAGGTGCATCGAGGAATACGCCGTTCCCCTCTTGACTGCCGTTTTTTCGTTTTCTCCCAGGAAAGATGATCCTGGAATAGGAGCATCCCGAAGATGACCCAAGGCGTCCAGATCCGTAAAGAAACCGGGGCTAAAAAGGAGATCGTACCTCCAACCAACAATGCCCTCGACAATGCTCCTGTATTCGGAGCTAATGGGCCGAAGTTTTGCAGTTTTCACACGCTGGCGCGGATCGCGGAGGATCTTTTCGAAAACCGAGGAAGACATTCGAGACGCGGCCTCGGTTTGCTCGATTTAACGGCTTGAATGACGAATTACTTGAAGATTTTTAGAGGTGAAATCTTGGTTCCGCCTCCTGGCGGGTTCCTACATTCCCAGGCACCCTTTAATGCTCGGGAAAGATTCGGAAAGCATTTCATTTGTTCTTCTAAATGAAATTTTGATTCTTCCTTCCGGCCAGATTTTTATTTCGCAGCCTCCCGTTGATACCGGGGAAGAATTCGAAAAGCAATATCTGCTTTTGTTTTTCCAAGTCCTGGACGCGGAGGCCCACAAAATGGGCCGACAAACGGACGAGGTTACCGACAGACCATCTCACACGTCATTAATCATTTCCCTGATGGGAGGGAAGAACTCGGCTGACTCTCGATTTTAGTTCCACGGTTAAGCCCGGTTTAGGTTAAGGATCGGGAGTCTCGCGTGTATATAATGCAGCCGAGCAGGTCCTCGTTTGTTACCGGCAATTTGTAGACAATGGTCTGTCGGATTGAAACGGGATAATCGCGAGCACAATGACCGGCGGGAATCTCTGTTTGTTTTCCATTTGTGCGCCCTCCGTTAAGCGGCTAATCGCTCACGTCTCTGGAGGTAAAAAATGGATCATCCTCGGCTCCCGATTCATCCTCGATCTCCATTTTTAATCCGGGCGCCCCGAAACGCTCTTTCAAAAATCAAACATCCTCATTGAGCGAGGTCAGGGCTCGGCACAATTCTCTCCTAAATGTGATCTACCTCGAAAAAAAAAAAATTAAACAAATCCTCTGCCGGAGGAAAACGCTCTCTTTGATTGAAGTATCATAAATATTAGCCATAAATTATTTAAGAATTTTCTAGTCCCAACTTATAAGTAATTCTTTCCTTCTGGATATATACATATACTCCTTTGAGAACCAGCGCTTATTTTATACCTCGCGGTGTTAATGTTTAACGCTATCTTTTCACATTATTTTATAGATACGCATTTGCGAAGAATACGGATCGCGTTAAAAAATGGCAAAGAGAGCCTGCTGGGTTACGGAAAAGCCGGAATGACAACGCTTGGCCACAGTACGACCTGTTGCTTCCTCAGGCTAGGGATAAAGGGAGGCTGTGATTCCCCAGGATGCCTAGGGACGTCGGCGGGAGCCGTGAGAATTTCGAAAATCAAAGAGTGCCGTCTCTCCGTGACGTGGGGCCATTACGCAACCTGACTTTTGTGTGGCGTCTCGAAAAGGGACCTGACACAAGTGCTGCCGAACGACAGTCATCGCCAGGCGAGAAATTTCGGAAAGATCTTTCGCATTTCAGCCGCGACTTTGATTTTTACGGCTCCCCGGGAAGTCCCTTCGAGGCTGGAAAAAGGGCAGCCTTTTGTCATCTCGAGTTATCCGAAATTATTGCTTTCTCGGATCGACCTGAGACCTTGATATTTATTTCTTTAAGTCGATATTCATTTCCTGAAGTCGATATTTAATTCTTGAAGTCGATATTTAATTCCTGAAGTCGATATTTAATTCCTGAAGTCGGTATTTAATTCCTGAAGTCGATATTTAATTTCTCACGTCGATATTTAATTCCTGAAGTCGATATTTAATTTCTTACGTCGATATTTAGTTCCTGAAGTCGATATTTAATTTCTCACATCGATATTTAGTACCTCGGGTAAACATTTAGTGACGCTTCTCCAGGTTTCCTGACACGACTGGAAGGATTCCCTTCGGCATATCTCCGGGGAGCCTTCTTTGAATCGGAAGTCCAGGAATTGATTCGACTTCCGACAGTCGCTTAACCGTTAGGATTGAAAGGATTGGGAGGATTAAAAGGCTTTCGGCAAGCCAAGCTCCGAATTATCCGGGATCGTTGCCGGCAAATATTATGACCCTGTATATTACGAGGGCGGCGGTCGGATTTTCGCGAATTTGCCAAATGCCGAGTTGGCCAAACAATTCGTCAGGTAAAGCCAATTAGCTCCGACAAGGCTGACGCAGATCCAGGGAATCTCGTTAATCCAAGCCCGATTTGGTCAGGTTTGACGGGTACACGAATTAGGACCGACCTCTGCGGTGCTCCTGGGGACAGAACATCGTTTTTCTCACCAAGCACCTGACTGACCCTCGTACCCATATTCACAGATGTCCTTCGATTAAGGATCCTCGTGTTAAAAGTCACTCGGCAGCCATTTTCCCGTTTCCTTGCTAATGGTCTATTTTCTTCTCAGATAAATCCAGATAGCACCGACAAGACAATCGGACCTCCAGAAAATCTCGTTAATACACCCCGATTAAATCAGGTTTTACGATATATGAATTAAATCGATGTCCAGAATCCTGCAGGACATTGCTTCGATGAGTGGTCCTCGTACTTCAAGCGGCATTTCGCTCGAAGAAGCGCCAAGCAGCCCGGAGCCATTTTTCCATTTCCCAGCCGGTGATCCATTTCCCCCAGTGGTGAAAACTCGTATTTCGAAGGAGCAGACAGGCCGACCGACCGAAAACGGCCCCAGGGGTGATTTTTAATCGGCGGTACCCTTTTGCCTTTGTTTCAGTGACGTCGGAAACGCTTCGGTAGAAAAGGCCCCTCTTGGTAAATGACTCGGACTCGGTCGGAAGGCTCTTGGTAAAAGGACGACGGAGGTCACTTCAGTTTGCTGTATAAGTCGGTAGACGGTGGTAGGATATGATTTGTGTCTTCAGCCTCCAGGAAGGGAGGCATCTGTCCGGTTTGGCCGCTGGACCAGACCTGGTCCTCCGAGACGTGGACCAGCAAGGTCGGACCGATCAAACGGTCCACCTCTATCCTCTCCCGAATTAACATGGATAATTGCTTCTTCCAGAAACGCACGGCCCCGCGCATTTCCAGGTAAACTCGTAAAGAGCTTTGATATAAACCTAACGAATCCAAGCCCGAATCCGGTGAGCAAAAAACCGCCGCCCGGGCGAGAGGAGGCCAGACACCGGACATTAGATCTCGTCGAGGGTCCATAAGAAGAGGAATAAATATCACGAAACACGAGGACCCCTTTCGCGAAGGACTACATTCAGGACGCGAAAATAGATTCTACCCTCTCGACAATCTCCATTAATTTCCCCTGTCCGGAATAGTCCTCGCGGATCGGTGCACTCGTGTATCCGCGTTTCCGCGTTGTCACGGGCCGCATTGTGGAGTCCAAGAAAATGGGCATTTTCATCCGGGAGCGTTGACGTAAAAAGAGAGGAAAATAGAGGTCCCGGACCGGGATGGAGGCCCGGAGGACACAGAGCTTTCTGTGACTCCGCTTCTGGCCGTTTCGGGGAAACGAGATTGTTCGGGACAGGGTCCCGCGGCGCATTGTGCGGTTTTATCTTTCAACGGCCTCGTTCCTCGAGTCCGGTCCCCCCGAATGTCGGGTCGACCTCAAAGGGCCCGAATTTCTTAAACGGAAACAAGTGTCGCTCTGGGTATCGACATAACGGATTGCACCTCCAGCTCCGGCCCAGTTTCCTTTCAACACCCCGCTCGTCTCGCTTCGGGCTGTAACGAGATCACCAGAGCCTCGTCGGCCATCTTGGACCGTAAAGACGAATTCGAGGTCGAGGTCGTGAGGACTCGATGTCCCGAGAAAGGTGCGGCGAGGAGTGCTTCTCATCTCTTCTTCATCGGGGGGAAGACGTGTCCTTTCTTCGATATCGTTACCACGAACATCGCAGTAACGGATGGTCCATCAGGGTCGAAGACATCTTTCCTTCCGCAATGTCCTTGCATTTCCCAGGTCCTCTTGTGGGTTCCGTAGCCGTTGATTGGATCCAATAATCAGGATGTGCCGCAACGAATGTCCCTGCAATCAATTAGCTTATTAGATCCTTCCTTCCACGGTGTCCTTACATTTTCTAAATACCCTCGGCCGAGCACTGCCAGGGTGGAAATCGACATCGGAGTCGAGGATTCCATAATCGTGTGATTTAACAACTGTCGGCTGTCTTTCGGACAAGGGTATAAGACGAGGTTTACACCCGAGGCCGAGGTTATAGGCCCGGCCTAGGGGAGTCGAGGGTGTGCCCGATGGTCCGGCTGCGTGATTTACCATTTTATCCATCGGCCAGTAATGGAACGACCAATGCTGCGACGGCCCGGCATACCGCCGAGGCATTCCGAGTATATAAACGATATTTATGTCAACATTTCCCCGCGCAGTCGGGCGGTCGGTCAAAGCGACCGAACAAAGACCCGTAATTTTTAAGTGGTCTCACTCTCTCGGCCGGTCTCCGGATTTCATCCGACACCCCTGCCGCCTTCTTGCCTCTCGCCGACGTCCTGTCAGTCCCCGATGAAAAACCACCCAGAGAAGAAATCGCACCGATTATCCTGGACCCGGGTGCCCAGGTCCCCGAGCCACCCTTAGGCACCCTTAAATCCGTATTTCTGGAGGCACTGACATTACGTCCACGGCAGCATTAAATCCATTTTTTAAGCATCAACGGACTGACTTTACACCCGTGGTAGCATCCTTAAGGATCTTCCCGGAAGTCCAGTGAAATATCCGAGTCCCAGGGACTTCCGGTCATCTTAGCTGAACCAGGAGGATTATGTCATCTCGTGGAAGAAGCATCGAATTTGCTCGTGAAATGCGGACCCTTGGTACCCTCTGCATTCCGTGTCCCGAGTCGAATCGATTTCACGGTCATGACTGTAGGGCCGAACGCGAGGGTTGGACCGAGTCCTTTTTCGCGCGTTCCCCGGCCAGTCCGGGATCGTTTTCGGGGTGGTTACATGCCCTAAAAGATCCGCTTTTCGGATTGACATCGGCACTTTCAAAGATCACCCCCTGTGGCGTGACTTAAAAACGCCGACAGTGTGTGTATCCTCACAAACGCGCGCGGTTCTCTTTCGGGGCTCGACTCGGAGCTCGATGGGCTGTGCCTTGACAAAGCTCTTCGAGGAAGCCAACCCTGCCCCCATATGGTAGAGACATTAATTCTATGGACACGTGTCCTCTGCGAAATCGGCTTCTTTGAGGCTTGTTTACAAAAGATTCGTTTCCACCGCGGAAATAGAAAATGGCACCGCCACCTTTCCATTGTACACCGAGTACGGCCAAGAGAGCCGACTCGAGTCGTGTCAATATTTGCCGATACGCATCGGAACGCCGTGACTTCAAGACGACATTATCCTTCCAATTTTATCTATTATTAATACTCGGATTAACTTAATATTAATGGTCAGTCCCATGATCTCCTCTTTGCCAAGGAGTCGAAGGCCTTCCTTCGGCGCGAGTAAACATCGGTAAATTGGATTTTACTGTAAATTGCGGCTAATCCTTGGATTACAACTAAAATCTTCCTCCGGATCCGGGCTGGTCGTGGGTCGTAAATTAACACCACCCGAGTGGCTCACTTTTCGAAAGGGGGATTAACTTCTTGAACAGCCAGGGCTTGGGGACGGTACTTTCAAAGCCGAAGGAGGGCCAGGACTCGCGAGGCGAAGACTCGCGGTCCGAAAAGCTCCTTCATTGTCGTGCGACTATTGGTAATAATTCGCTTTTACACGGAGATTACGCCGGCATGATTGTTTTATTACACCGCTGGGAGGGATGGCCTCTTGAACGGCCACTTCTCGGTTCTTCCTCTCGGCGATGGTCGTCGTACCTTAAACCGCCTCTGCAATGCGGTTTACCATACAACCTCCCGATGGTCACAGCTGCAAGGTTCAAAGAAAGTTCAAAGAAAGTCCAAAGAAAGTTCAGGCTAGCCGGGAATTCGCAAACTGCGAGACTCGGGCGGTTTACCGGGAACCGGGCGAGTTTGAGAGAGGTCTCTTTACTTTTCTTCTGTTTTTTTTTCTTTTTTTTTTAATAAAATGCCATATATTTTAAATATATGCTCATAAATGCACGTAACGAGGGCAAAAACATGTAAGAGAGGTTTCGTACTTAGCAAAAGTTGTTAGTTTTCACGAGTAAGGCCACTTTCACACTGTATCCAGTCTTGATCGTCCTCGGCGTCTTAGATCTAACATTGCGAAGGTCGCACTCGGCCCAAGTCGAATGCGGCAAGAAATATCACTACATTACATATCTTACTTTCAGGAATGTTTGCACATAAATAAAATATCTTATATATATATATATATTTATCAAACCTATAGCTGCGTGGTAATTACTGTTTTCCTAGTAATGACAGTGTGTTTAGACGGTGTCGGAGCACTAGCGGCGGCCTGGGAGGGATCCGAAACGAGCCAGGGACTGATATCGGAGACCGCGAGAGTTTCCTGCTACAAAGAAAAAAAGGGCATTACGATTAAGCCGACAATGTTGACCAAGGAAGGCGTTCCATGATTTCCGTTCAATGGACCACCTCTCATGGGAATTGCCTTATGAATGCTAATCGTCGTTTCAAGGACGCAGTTGGAAGTTAATCGTAAATTTAAAGGGATCGAACCTTGTGAGCCAGAGTCGTGGTCGTCGTCTCGATCTCTTCCGTTTTTACGATCCTGGCCCCGTTGGTCTTCTCCACTTCCTTCTCGAGTTCGGTCTTCTTCTCCTGGACGGGGGGATCATCTTTGAACGGGTTCAACAGGCCCAGGAATGGGTTTGAATCTATGAACGGGTTGGTGTTCTTCTTCACCTCTTCGGGGCCGTCCTTCCTAAGCTCTTCGCTGACGACGTCGTTAATGATACTGACATCACTAGATGTGTCATTCATAAACGGATTGAAAGGGTTCTGAGATTGGTTCGCTACTTTAGGACTGAGTGCCGTAGTCTTCTGCTCGATTTGGCCCCAACTGTCCACCGAGAAGTGCGTCACCGTGACTGCGTCGTCCACCGGTGGGGGCACCACTGTTGCACCACTGACCGACAATGTTAATTTGTCTCCTCCCTGTAACGTTCGAACGGAAGTTACAAGTATGCTGGACGCAATCGAGCCGACCTTGCTCTAAGTGTAAACGGTGAAGAGGGTGTCGCTTAAGCCGTGTCCAAACTCCATAACTATCTACTTGAGCCGTACAAGCGGTAACTTACGGAACAGAAGACCGAATAACGGGGGAACTTCGTACACTCGAGTTTACCTTTGCGAAAGTTATCGTTATCCAAGTGGGCAAATCGAACAAATTAAAGAAAACCAATGATAACGTGTCGCTAGAGATAACTTATCGCCTAAGTGTTCACGTAAGGTTCGACACCTCTTAAGGGGATGTGAAAGCTGTATCGGAGGTGCCAATCGTTCATGAAACTTTGTTCTAAGCTGAATGTACCGAATTGTTTCAAACTTTACAACGGGGATATGAAAGGTCTGAAACGATTCGGTAGAATTAAAGAAAAGTTTCACAAACGAGACCTCATTGACAGCACTTTCACGTCACCTTAATCGCAGAAGGTAATAGACTGTGCAGGAGCCTTACCACCGAGACAATGGTGGCCGCTTCGGAAGATTGGCTCTGCTCGGAGAGCACGGTACCACCCTCTACAGAGGTGATGGAGATCAGATTGGAATTCTTCCCCTGCTCGAGAGCTTTTGCCTTTAGGATGTTGCATTTCAGCGACTCGGGGGGAATCGGAGTCCGCGGAGGCAGCGAGGAGGCACCGCCAACCTGGTTGTTGGGCACCGGTTGGAGCTGCTGGACGGATATGGCATCGGAAGTTAGGCAAGCCTTGACGGGCTCGGCTTCCTTTTCGTTACTGGCGATCACAGTTTGATTTCTAGGCTCCAAGGGCTGCTGCTCCTTGGCAAGGGATTTCAGAAGAGAGTCCACCAGCGGAGACGAGGTCCGTTGAACGCTGGAGTCGGAGGACTTCGAGCTGGACTTGCTTGGCTGCCGCTGAAGGTTCTCCTCGTTGACTGGAACTGGAACTTCAAAGAGCCATCGTTAACCATCCCGGTTCCCTTTCTGGACGCTGGTTCTCAATTGGCTCAGGGATAGGGACGTACCAGCAGATGACTGAGGAGTTTGATCGACTTGCTGCCGTTGCCTTTCCCTCAGGATGTGGCTTTGTCGTCTCGCGTATCTCTGGCTTGGACGCCGCTCAAACTGGACGGTGCGCCTAGCGCGGTTGAGCTGGGTGGTCTGGAACTCGGTTTTGCCGCTGTAGCGAAACCTAGACCCCATTCGGAAGAAATTCTGTCTACCGTTGGCACCCTTCACCGGTGCCCTTAATCGGAAGAAGGCGTGGTGCTCCACGGCGCACTTCCAGAGGTGCTTGCAGGCCTTTTCGTTGACCAGTCGGAAGACGAACGTGTGTTCCTGCTCGCCCCTACCCTCGTCATCCTCCTCTACGACCACCAGGGTCAGCTTCTTCTTCTTGAAGTCAAGCTTGCCGATCCTGGGCCAGAAGAACAGGCCGATCTTCTGGGAACCTTCGAAGACCAGAATCCCGGTTGGAGTCAACCCTAGGGAGTACTCACACGCGTCTTTCCCTAGAACCGTGTGCATGTCCACCCCGTACATTTCCAGCCATTTCGCTCTGCTGAGGTACGCGGATTCAGCTTGCGCTGGACTGAGACCGGAACACTTCGAGTACTCTTCGAAAATCTCCAACTCCATCTGCTCGGTCTGGTTAGGCACGAAACGAAACTCGGAGACGGTCGCCGCGCTGTGCACCGATGGGTCGTAGTCACCAAGCTCGGCTGAACGATTTTGTAAAGAAGAGTATGATTTTAGGTTGTTTGAGAAACTTGAAGTACCTGTGACATGGAAAACATCCAACGAGCACTCACATTGCAGAGCAAGAGCTGCCAACTGAATGGCAACTGGGTAAGGGCAGTGCAAACGTCCCTCCAAGACATCTTGTTTTAGCTGCAGGAAAAACTGATAGCGGGTAAGTTCTTCCCTCAAGGTATTGGGCTCGGACGAGTAGAACTTGACTTTCAGACGCAGAGTATATGGAGGACCAACTGCAGCATCAAACGTCATCAATGTCATCGATCAAAAATAAAATCTGGTGAAATCAACACGATAAAAATAACACGCATACTTTTAATCTGCTTCTTAATAGGCTTGGTAGGGTCCAACCAATGTTGTACATTGTTGCTGTCGGTGTACTGCAACCCAAAGTAATCCTTCTCTATCAGATCTAAACTATAGAACACCTGTTCGTACAGATCACTGGCCAGTGCTTTTTTCTGGAATGGAACACAGTTTGTTAGCATATGGAGCGATGCAATAAAGGTTCCAGCTAGTAAACCAGGCAAAATCAATCGGTACCGATGGACGAGCATAGAGTGCCGAGAAAACCCAATTCCTGCTCGAACATAGCATTCGTAACGTAAATAACCTTACCGATAGTTCGATAGGCAAGTCCGTGCCATCCAAAAGGATGACTCTACATTGAACGACATTCTTATTGCTGAGCAGGCGTTGGTTCTTGATCTGCGAGGAGGCAGACTGGCCTCTGACGCTCCTCGCTCTGCGCCTTGAGAGAAACCTCAGCATGTTTCGGCCAGCCACCTCAGTTATTATGAGGTGGATCTATGGAGAGGCATCTCAGTTCTCTGGGACGTATCTCACAGGGCTCGTGGAGCAAAACGAAGCCACGACCTGGAGCTACGGGGGCGGTAGCGGTTACTGGTAAACAAAACGTATCTGTCAAAAGGCGGAGTCACCGTCTGAAATGAGAACTTCGCTGATTAATCCGGACGTAGAGGGTCCTTGAGGGAATATACAAAATGCTTGTAAAATCTCTCTTACCATCGTTTTACCACCAGCGACCAAGGGAATCAACATTCCACGGCTTTTCCGCCTTTCGTTATTCCATATCTACCCAACGAACAGCTAGAGACGCAAACTAGGCCATGCTTGCAATTCTGCCAATCCCTTAACGGGAAACTCCCTCCCTGATAACCCGAACGCCATCTGGGAGCGACTTCCTAAATTATACTTGAGGTGGCAAACCTTGTTCAACGAGTATTTTACTTCTCTCTGATTTTACTTAATTTCACTTGCCGGTCCTGATTTTCGACGCATTGATGCGGCAGCGTTCAGTGAAACTTCAGTTTCAAGCTTAATTTTGATTTATTTCTCCTCCTAGATACATCACGCCGCCCTCTGTGTGACATTCGATGCGGCAGCCTCGTCCATTCCATTCGGCGCCATATTTGAAATCCAAGATGGCCGTCCTACGAAACCCCGCGTACCGGTGAAGGAAAAGCGTTTTCTTTTTCCTCAACGTTTACCTAATGAAGGAACACCATTTCTCTTAATAAACACAACGCGGGGGCAGAGGAGAGACTTTATGTTTTTATAGAGACAAGAGAAGTTCACACATGATACATAGCATGTTCCTCCTTAACCGAGACTGCGAGTTGTTAATTAACTATTACTACGGCTGTTAATTGACCGTTAACCGTAACGTTTAAGGCATGTCAATCGAAGTGTGCACATCTCCCATTTTCGGGGAATCATAATAGCGCTATGGCGTGCTTAGTCCACTGGCGACGTAATAAACGATACAGCGTACATGGGCGTGCACTTTTGTCAAACTTATGGGGCCGCAACAGATGAAACGGTAAATGGTCGCAAAGTGTCCTAGCGATTAGGCGTTATCGTTCGTCGCAAAACGAGCCGATGAGCCACCAAACCGGAGCTCATCGTCCTGACAACGAAGAAACAATGCCGAGGGCCTTCGTCGAAGGAACGAGTTTACAATTCTTACAGCAATAGTTACTATCGAACTTCGTAAAACTAAACCTACGCCGGTCCCGCCTCCGCCCTCGGGACAACGAATGGGCCAAAGATCTCTCGAATGTTCTCCAATCGATACGAAGAAGTGGAAAAAGAAATCCGTCCCTATCCGACGTCGACCGTAACGCACTTTTCCGCCCGTTCCTCGAAATCATGCGAGCAATATGTAGCGTAAAGTGGAAGACCGTTGGAGTCGAAATGGCCAACTGCGACTGTAATTTTCCGCAACTTGAATGAAATGTTTCAACCGATAAAGGCCAACGAAACGTTGGGAGGGAAGCCTCGCGATCGACGGCAAGGACGCTCGATCCCCGTGGGTGTCGTTAAGAATCCGCCGATAAAACGCGCGGAAAGTTTCGGAATTGATATCCGGAATTTGTCGCCCCTCCCCGGTGAGCCATCCGTCACAGTGAACATCGGAATTGTTCATTTTGCGAGAGCTAGGAACCGAATCCACCGTTATATTGCTTCCCTCGCTTCGTCGGTCCCGCGAAACCAGGTCGGCCATCTTGAATTTCGGGGTCAGAAACTCCCAACGGGTATTCGGCAACATTTTTCGTGTTTTTCCTCGAAATTTCAGATGCTAGATCAGTGAGATCTGTTAAAATGTGTCTTCCTCGCTTATTAATATTCAATTCGGTCGACCTGGCTTCACCGGAGCCTCAAGATGGCTGCCGGAACCGCGTCAACGGCGTTTCCATAATTCGCGTTAAAATTACGTTAATGCAGATATCCTTAGAGGGTACGCAAAGTGATAAGGGATCGTTAAAAATGGGCAATCTCCCCGGCTTTGGTTAGTGTGGATTGTTAAAATCGACCAGGCCAACGTCTGGCCAGACTAGGGCCTCGGTTAACTTTTAACGGTGGGTATTAAAAGTCGCGTTACGAAATATCAGGCCTCGCGAGTAAAATCCGCCACTCGGGGTGGCAACCCTCTTCCGAAATTCCGACAAGGGACGACAACTCGCCCCTGGCGGAACTTCTACGAAGAGTCTTATTTAGAATCTCGGCTGTTAATCACCGTTAATTATTTACAGATACGGCCAGGATACCCCGATATATACCCTATGTATACGAGAAGTCACAAATTCCATGAAACGATTTGATCATCACTTCGCCATCCTTAGACCGATGTACTTCACTGTCATTTCTTTACTCTGATACATCGGTCGAACAATAGCGTGTGTAGCCAGTTTCAATTCGCTTCAACGATAGTGCAGCTGTTTTTTTTTTTTTTTATCAATCTCGTATGCAAATTATACATATCAGTGCCAGGGTACGACACGCAGTCGATGGGACGAGTCCGAATGATCCTTCGTTCAGCATCCCTACGACGGTTCCTTATCATTTAAAATATACTTAGTCTAGGACAAATATCGCTTGGGGGTGAACCGAACGAGTGAGGAACTTCGATCGACGGAGTCACCCCTTAAAAAGGGTGCAAAGGCCTCCCCCATATCGGTCCAAGTCCGAAGCTTCGCCCCAAAAAGGCGACGTGAGAATACCGCTCGATCAGCTGACCCTGAACAGCCGCTCAACATCGCCTTAACTCGTTCCGATCCTCCTTAAGTACGCAATTATTTACAGATTGTACCTAACTATTATTTCATTTGTTTCGGTAGTCTCTCCCTTAACCGCTCGCTGAGGAACAAATACTTGTCGCCGCCGCCCTTATCTAAAGGGGATCAAACCCGGGATCTGATCAAGGAGATGGAGTCGTTGCAACAATTGGGATCTCATTCCTGGACCAAAACCGAAAAGGACAATGCCTCCCCTGGTGCAACAACCCCATAGGGCAGCACTTCCTCCATCTTGGAACAGAATCAAACACTGGGCTGGCATCGTGCAGCGTGAAAATAAACGGAACATTTGTTTATTAAGGACCGTGTGTATATATATATATATATCTGTATATGAGAGATGCAAAATAAACTTTAGACTCTCGTCCTGCTATCACCGTCAAAAGTCCGACCACACCTCCGTCAAATTCCGTACATGCTCGTCCGTGTTAAATGAGGAGCCATCTTCGTCCGTGACGATTCCTCGCGAGGTCCTGCATGACCTCTCCTACTTAACACGATAATATGTAAATCTAGTATCAAATCTGCGGCGCACTAAAGAACACCTACCAGCTGCGGATAGCGATAAACCTATCGGATTTAGCATACGCAATGGAAAATAAATCTTACAAAGTCTCTTGCAGGGACACCGGGCAGGCCCTTCGGACATTGCTCGGAGTGATCGCGAATAAGAACTAAACGAAGAAACGGGAGATATAGAAAAGACGTGAAACCCCTCGAGCAATGTCCGAGGACAATACCAGGACATTATCCCGTCTATTGACAAATTCCAGGTTTTTTTAATTAACGGCTAGAGGCGCGGCGATCGACTTATCGAGTGCGAACTTTCTTAGCTTATCCGAGCGCGCCCAGAAGATCGGATCCAGGAGACTCGTCGCTCCTCCAAGATAAATTCCAATTGTTTCCTCCAAGTTTTCAAGGCGAAATCGTCACGTTAGACCGTTAGCCAGCAGTCTGAGGAGATGCCCGATTAATTAATATCGCCTTCCCCTTTCGAATCAGCTCTCCGATCGAGTAGAATACTGTTAATGCTCCTTTACATTTAGTCGATTACGCCAAAGTTAATTTAATACTGCTCTTAAGGGTCCTAATACTGGTCTTACTTAGCTCCCTAGATCCCTCCATCGATACGACACACACCATCCGATATACATACAACAATTTAACGCTATATATAAATATATCCACTAAGAATTAAACGGAACGACGCAACAGTCCCTCGGCAGGGCCGAGACATAGAACTCGAATTTCATTTTCAATACGCTTAGTTTCAGTACCCTCTGGTAACTTGGGACAGATGATTAACAAAGCGGTCTAATCGTTTTAACAAATGAGGCACTCCGAGTCGTACGGTCGTGGCTAAAAAAAAATTGAGAAGTCTCGAATTCGAAGGACCCCTTGAAGAGGGTCTTCAAGTATCGGCCGTTCTTCTGGGCGAGCTCGAATTTTTTCTGCCGTTTTTACTGACTCCCTCCTCGGTATACAGGACCCTCTACGATCGACAATCCTGGTTAAAACATAAGTTAGACTTTATAAAAATACTATCAACGGCTACGTGCTTAGTAACTCTTCGATACAATTCCAAATACGTAAACGTTAATCGTAAGTCGTCAGGCCATTAGTATAATATATATATATCATAATAGATCTCGTATCAGGATCGCGCGACGTATCCTAAATTATATGTATGTATATAAGCGTTTATGGTGTATATCATATACACATATATATATATATATCCTTTTAATATTTCATATGCGTAACAATGAGACGCGATTGGCTCGGTTCTAGATCCCGCGATTGACGTCACCGTTCGATATCCGCATCCACCGATCGTCGGTCTTCTCGAAACGAATCCTTGCCATGAGCTAAAGCATTGTGAGCCCATCCGGAAGCTGCCTGAGTGTATAAGTCGTAAGCTTCGAGGATCCCTAATCTTTAATCCTCGAAGCTTAGCGCCGAAAAGCTCGAGACCGACGAATGAATGTCGGCGAAGTCGAGTAGTGATCCTCCATCGTCCTTACGAGGACTCGCGAGACGAAGGAGACAAATCAAAAGACTACATTCGGCATGGCCCGCCCAGCTCGTTTACTAAAAAAAGGTATATCAGCGCATATAAAACTCTTAGGAATTAGCGAATCGCGATCGAGTATCGGCGAAGGCCGATATGGCGCAATAAAAGGAAGAAGTCTTCTGCGGTTTCGGGTCCGCGCGATTCCTCGGCAAAGTAAAGGAAAAGTGCTCATTGGGGATTAAGGCGGTCTGAAAGCGGCACCTGAATCGTCTGAATCGTTTATAACACTTTTCTGCAAACTCAATTAACCCGAATCGTCCGGAATTTCACCAGTGGAAGCACTAAGGAAGGTCCTGACGCGCATAAAATTTCAATTGTGAAGAGATTTTTTTTTTTTTTTTAATATCCATAAACAAATTTAAAGAAAAATTGAAGTTTCATGGGTGTCGGGACCTTCCTTAGACTCTCTATATTTATGTTGTAAGGTTTAAATCGTTTCGGTACACCTAGTTTGGAGAAAAGCTACGAGAACGAGAACTCTTCGACGCTACTTTCGCATCGCCTTAAGAGGAAATAATATAAGACATATCTTGAGAGGTCGGTCGGGTAAAAAGGTAACGCCTAAGTCGACCGACCACGTGGGTGACTTGGTAAGAGTAGCATGTGTCGCGACAGAGTTAGGGCCTCAACATTTTGGACATGCCTGATAGGCGTATCAGAGCCTTTGGTAGTACTGCCAATAATGTTTGGCAAATGCGAGAGAGTTAGTTACGACTAATTAATAAGTACAGAAGGCTTAGATCCGTCGCGCTCTGGTTCGACCGGTGCGAAAGTGTTGCCGACAATGAGACACCCCAGTGGCGTGAAATCCCGATTCCAAGGAGACGAGTCGTTAAATAAATCGTTCCAACGCAACGATACGCACAAAATTAATACTACGGCATTCTCATAAACGTAAGACTTCTCGGGAAATTCCGCACCCCCGAAATTTCGGCCGAGTTCACGCCACCATACTTAACACGAGTAGAGCGAATCTTAACGATAATGCACATGTCATTATACTCTATATATATAATATTAATTATGTCGTTATATTACAGTATAGCTACAGTCGGCTCATCGGACACGCACGACTTTCGAGTTCGACCCTATATACACGCTCCCCTTTTCCTCTCTCTCTCTCTCTCTCTATATAATATGTGTAATATTTATATATTTATACGTACGTCAACGCGGCTCGCACCGCGGACGTTTCCTGAAAAAGCTACAAATTATTAGCGGGTCGTTTAGTTGGGAGGCGTCCTGGTCGTCAGCTAACATCAGATCAGAAACGACGGAGTCGTCGAAGCTGCCAGGTATTCGAAACTAGGAAACTTACGGAGGGTAGAAGATTAAAAAAAAAAGAAAGAACCAAGAAAATCGAACGAAAGTCGCCTTTGAAAAATCATGCCTGCCTCTAAGTGGGTAGCCCAAAGTCATGGAGGAAGTAATTCGACAATCGCTAACTCAACGCTCGGAAAACGCAACGCAGTCCTGTCGGCGAAGTCTGAACTTCGTCCCAAGCTGCTCCACCATTCATACATGATCTAATGACAACACTCATACGTACGACTAAAATCGACCCTCGCGATCAGCGATTGATTCTCGGAGTGACCGCAAGAAGCGCTACTAGCGGAGGATGGTCACTACCAAAGGATCGGAAATCGTATAAATTATGATCTTTTGGTATGAAATGTTCCCGGGTGTAATTGGGAACACTTTGATACGACCTCGGTGACCATCCTTGATTAGTCGGATAATGATGGAATGAGTTAATAAGCGATGCAAAAATTAATCGGTGCAGTCAGGTACCTAGTCACCTTGATCTCGAGTCTCGTCTGCCTGTGAACGTTACAGCCAGTTAGGAATCAGCTGATGCCAATCAGCAGAACCCTCGGGCCTGCCGAAACCAAGGACCTATCTATAACTGAAAAATGATGGGCGACAACAAATCATCGAGATTTCCGGAAACGACTGATCGGATAGCAGAATGGTCCACACGTTACCGAAGACTCCATTCTCAAATTAAACCGTCTTTTCCGAAACTAAAGTCAGGACAACTACGGCCGCGTTGTACAGGATATCGCAAGGATAACCGTGGAAATATCTACGTTTTACTTTCATACGTTTCTCCGATTCCACAGGGTCTCAAAGGAGCCCTGGACTGCAGCGGTGCAGGTTTCAGACGATATCCTACCGAGCTTCAGACCCACCCCCGCGATCGACCCCCTTAATACCGAATTCGTCACGCAGCCTTTACAATACTGTAAGTGGTCGCAAGAAAATTAAAATCCTAATCAACATACGCAGGAATGGAACCTAATACCTCCGGAACGGAACTCAACTCATCCCCCTGAAGTAATATGCGAGTGGGTGCCCCTGAGTAGCAGAGAATCCTGACGGGATTTTCGAAGATCAACCACATTCGGTTAGCGACTGTACCCAGGGTTCTCCAAAGTGGGACAGAAAATCGCTGATCATCCCTGAACCGAATCCAATGTAACTCCACCCTTCATCGACTTTTCCCACTGACTCTGGAATGTGATCTCGGATTGTAACAAAGCGCGTTAAGATGCAATCGACGTGCGACACCCTGTACTCGAGCCCCACCGAGATGAGGAACATGTCCTTTGCCCAGCTCAATGCAGAGGCAGGCAGAACATCTGCTTCAGGATGCCTTTCCTGGGGCTCTCCTCTTCGTCGTCTTCCTCCACGTCGTCGTAGTCGTTCTCGTCGTATCTGACGATCGCGTTGTTGTTCTCGCCGGGGTTGCTTCCGTCATAGGTGACGTCTGTGATGCTTAGGGATCGATTCGGGGTCTCGTAGCGAAACGGGAACGGAGGCGGCACTCGACACTCGTTGTAATTATTGTCGTTCTCGTTTCCCTGGGAGTAACTAAAAAGATAGATGTTGTTACGTCGGCAATCGTTAGAGCTTATGCAGCGGAAGGGCTCGAGGCCCAACAAGGCGAACTCGTTCTGCAGATTGTACACGGTGTACGGCTGCCGCTGATGATGTTGATCCAGGAACTGGCACTGCTCCAGGAACCGGTGCTCGGCTGGCCCATCTGGCTCTTGTCACACGCAGTCCTCCAAGGACATCAACAACGGGTTCACGTATTCGAAGCCCTCGAATTCGCTCTGGTCTATCTTCTCGATGACCCTCCTGGAGAGATAAAAGGAAAACCCCACGTCTTAGATAAAGAAACAACCAAAACATCCGACAGGCAATCGTTCATGAAAATGTCTTCCGGTTGGCGGAAGGACCGACCCAGTCCGTGTGCCGATTCCAGAGAGAATTTCCGCGGATTTCGTCAAGCGCGTCGGGTCCAATAATTCACGTCGGCGGTTGATATAAATATGGGTGAAATAATGGATACACGGAATGCACCGGGGGGTGGGCAGACCGAGGACCGTTTGGTAAGCAAAGGCCATAACTTACGGATCGTCGGGTGTGAGATGAACGGGCTCGTCCGTGAACTCTGGCGGGAAGTTTGCCAAATCGCGATCGGAATCCAAGTGTGGCTTATAAGGCGGCGTGACCTGCTTTTGCTCCAGCTGCAACATCAATTGCAGATGACTCTCTCAGGGTGATTCACGGGTGACTCTTCCAGGGGGACAATGGAAAGGTACCAATCATTCGTTTTAAGAACCGCACCAGAGACCTGTCCCTTGCAAGGGTGGACCATACTTTCAAGGAACCACTAATTCTCTACTCCACGGACTGCTCACCATTTCCCAGTCGATGGCCTTGAAGAAGGGATGATCGACGATGTCCAGGAAGGCGGAAGGTCCGCGTCCGCAGCCCAGCCTCTCCGCAGGGTCCTTGCAGAGGAAGCCCTTGAGGACCGACCCGGCCTTAACGGAGAGGGTGCGGGGAATGCGGATGGTCTTCTGCAGGATCACTTGGAAGAGGTAGTCCTCGGTATTTTGGTCGGGATTCTCGGACGCCCCGGTAATGTCGAAGGGGCTGCGGCCGGCCAGCATCTCATAGAGCAACACACCCAGAGCCCACCAATCGACGGAGAATCCATAGTCCTCTCCTCTCAATATCTCAGGTGCTATATAGTTCGGCGTGCCGCAGAACGTGGCGGTGGTGTCGCCCTCTCTGACCCCTTCCTTGCACATTCCGTAGTCCGTCAGCTTGACGTGGCCCTCGTGGTCCAGCAGTACGTTGTCCAGCTTCAGGTCGCGGTATATGATACCTAGGATTTAATTCACCGCGGAATCATTGAGATGCCATTGGGAATATAGAAGAGATATAGGGAATCTCCTTAGATAAGCGAGAGTAACCTTTTTCGTGCAAGAAATTGAGCGCCAGGCTGATCTCGGCGGCGTAAAACCGGGCGTGCTCTTCGGGAAGACGACGTTGCCTCTGCATATGGAACATAAGGTCGCCGCCGCGGACGAACTCGATGACGAAGAAGAGTCGCGACGGCGTTTGGAAGCACGAGTGCAGACCGACGAGGAACGGGTGGTTCGAGGCGGTCTCGAAAACGTGCTTCTCCGTCTGCACCCAGTCGATGTCCTCGTCGTCCGTGACCAAGGCCTTCTTGATCACCTTCATCGCGTAGATCCTCTTCGTGCGCTTCAGCTCCACCATCAAGACCTTGGCATAAGACCCGCGGCCGATTACTCGGATCAGCTCGAAGTCGCTCAATGAGTACTGCCTCTGCATCTCGTTGCCACCATCGCCTCCCGTAACGGCATCCAGTGCCAATTCCTCGCCCTCTTCGCTCCCCGTACCTGAAAAACACCTTTCATGTTACTCATCTTACACTTTCACAACCATGCAGGACGTAACAAAATTCCTATCCACGATTTACAACTCGCAATACCCCTCGAGAAATCCAACCAAATTTTTTCCTCGATAGTTTACCTGTATTAATTAATTTAATTCATTAATATAGGCATTACAGCCGTTGCGTTAAGGCGATAGGTAAACGGGCTATTATCGAATTTCCTCGATAAGAGAGGTTCCCCTGAATTCCGGATACTAACGATTTCGCGATGGGTCGTCGAGGGCTGCCGAATCCGCGGTTTCGTCGTCGAGGTGTGCGGCTTGACAACTCTGCGGCGAATCCGGCTGCTGCTGGTCGCCATTTCTGTCGGACTGAGAGTCCGTCGACTGCAGCTGCTGTAGCTGTTGCTGTTGCTGCAGGCTCAGGCAGGGCTTTCTTACCACCTTGTGGCACTTTTTGTGCACCAGCAACTTGCACTGGATGCACTTGAATCCCTGCCGTCCTAGTCCCCAAATTCTGTCCTGGCAGTACGCACAAAATGCCCTCTGCGAACAAGAGAGATTTTCATATTCAAAGTAGATTCAGACACATCCGTACTCTATCCGTGCCGTATCCGTACCCATCCGTACAAAGTATCCACCGGACATCGAAAGACCACCCTGAGTAAAAAGATTAATCGACCAAAACAAATACATATCGCCGCCCAAATCACATATAACCGCAAGGAACAATTATTTCCTTGAGAAAAAAAAATTCCCATTCATTTATAGGAATTTTATTTACTCGATCCGACATTTCTTTTGACGTATTTAATTCCAGAGTGTCCCCTGTACTCTCTCCAAATTCCTTGGTTCACTTACTCGATTGAAACGTTTCGCCTGGAATATGTGACCATTAACTCGGTAGAGTTTCCTCCATCTGCGCGCTCCTCGTCGGTAGATGCTCCCTAAAAATAAACGAAAGGCGAATAAATAAGGAAACAGGGACAAGGGGTGGCCGCGAGAAAAACGTATCCCCGGAATGAAAACTGTTATCGGGAGATTCTACCGCTTTATCAAAGGGATCGCCGTCGAGGTCGAGAGACCGGAACCCGAAGAGGTCTCTCAGCGAGCCGCGTTGCTTTTCATCCCGATTTACTTTTCCGGATTATTATCCATGGCAAGGTCCGGCCTTCTGAATATGGATCGAGATAACTAGCTACGAGCTTGGTAACTACTATTTGCACACCGGTTACTCCGTAGCCTCGTGGTTTCATAATAACCGAGGCCTCACTCTGTCGCGTCTAGAGGCGCGTTCGTTAACTCGTGCATTCGCGATCGCGTAATGGCAAGTAATGGCAAATAATAGGGAATAATGAATAACGTCAAATAACGTCGGCTAACTAGAAGAAAAAAAATCGGGAAGCAATCCTCTCCAAGAGACTCTTCGACGAATCGACTGCGATCCATTAAGGTGATATGAAACTGTACATACATGTGAAAATATTAATAAAACTTTTCTCCAAATTGGGTCCACCGAATCATCCAAAACCTCCGTGAAATTTCATTTTTCGAGAAAAAAAAAATGTATTTCTCTCGGACAATAACCAAGAAAACACAATTTTTTTTTCTTCGAAAAATGAAATTTCACGAGCGTCGCGTTCTTCGTTAGGGCCTCCATAATCGCGAGTTGGAGTTTCAGATGATTTCAGCGCACCCAGTTTGGAGGAAAGTTTTATGAACATTTTCACGCCTTGATGTATATAATGACCCTTTCATACCATCACCTTAACCTGGGACCCGATTCTCGATTTCATACCATCAACTTTCGCGTGCGAGATTGACACTTTCGTACACGACTTTGAAACGTTGACCAATGACGCGACATCGCGACATTTTGTTCATGCGAATCCATTAGGATGCGAGAAAAGATCCGTATGAAATCGGGAATAGGAGGGCCCGGATTTACACATCGAGACGCCGTCTAGGCCATCTTGAGGAACGCAACGACCGGCGGAAAAAAAAAAATGCATAAGGAGCTTCGCTTATCGATAACAAGCGAGGCTCCTTTACTGAACCGAGTACCGCTGCATGCGAAGATCTGCAGGAGGAGCGAGACCGTCCCACGTTGGTCCATTCTTCGACGCACACAGCTGCCAACTTCGCTCGCGCCGTGACATCACCGAGCCATTGAAACGTGTCAAGGTAAGTTTGTAAACACGGCGCTAAACGCCGAGGCGTGCTAGCGAGCTGGCTTAAACCCGATACACACGAGAGCGAGGTAAACGTGCCAATGGCGGCGCGTTGTGTGAAAAAACCCGCGGCTGCATTTTCTCGCTTTTCAGCCTGCCGAAAGGACGGCCTAAGAGCACGGCGGAATAAGTTTCTCCGTTAAAATCCTTAAGGTGATATGAAAGTGTGATATATGTACAATGGCGGACATGAGTGCCTCCCCTGCAGATACGGCATCGCCTGCGCAGGATGGGAGGGCATTGATGTCTCCCAGTGTACACGTACCAAAAGGTCTACATACTTATGAAAAATTTCTCCAAAGTGGGTGCACCGGATTATCCGAAACGTTAACACGTGATTTTGGAGGCTCTAAGGAAGAATGCGATGGAATTGAATTTTTCGAAGAAAATTTTGTATTTATCTCGGACATTTTTTTTTTTTCGAAAAATCAAATCTCACGGGCAGCGCGCTCTTCCTTAGAGCCTCCATAATCACGTGTTAAGGTTTCGGATAATTCGGCCCACCCAGTTTAGGGAAAAGTTTCGTAAACGATTGCTATCTCGGATGCCACTTTCGTGTCGCCTTAATCCGCATCGTTGGAGGTCGCTTTCCTCCGCCTCGCGGTGTTCGGTCGGAAAATTGCGTTCCCTTCGGAGGAAGGCAGGGGCGTGCACCGTAAAAAGAAGCATGTAAAATTAGACAATAAATAATAGTAAAAGAAACTACCGCCAGGAGTATCGGGCGCGGAACCCTCGCTGCGGAATCGTGGAAACGAAAAGTCAGAAATGATAAGCCCTCCGAAAACGGAGAGAGAAAAAAAAAGCATATATATATATACACACACAGAACACTGTACAAGTGGTATTTCCTTTATAAACTGCGTGTTATTTCAACGTTCTGGATATACATTTCTACAATTCGTGGCGGGTAGTCTCGGTACCGTCTACTTCTTGTATAATTTTACATGGAACTTTTTAACGGTGAACTTCTTCAACCTCTTCCAGGTCACGCCATTACGTGCCGAGGTGTCAAGAACTAAATCCTCATCGAGGGAATACTCACTGTCTTCGCCCTGACAGGGCATCCCAGGAGCCGCGGGCACGTTCGGGAAGACTGAAACAGAAAGACAACGAGATGACCCCGTTTTTACCACCGTAGAACGATAAAGACATTCTAATGTCCCGGTTAAGCGTTATTTCCCCGACGCGACTCCCAATGACCGGCCGTAAAGTTTCAAAGACCCCGGAACAACGTTTTTAAGGAGCTCTCACCGCTACTCTCGGGAATACCCAAAGTGCGGCAGTCATGCGCATCCTAACATAGGTATACACCTCCGTATGCAAGGAGGAGGACCGGGTTGAAATATCCGCATGCAAGGTATACACACGTATATACCTATATAGGTACGCATATACGTGTCTTGTCTGCGTGCAACACCTTGCACGGTAACTGCGGACCCGGCCGCCATTTCTCCCGGAAATAATTCCGGGGAATGAGGGATGAACTCCGCGTTACCTTGGGCCGAATCTTTCGCGAGGAACAATGTGCCCATTGTCGGGCGGACCTTGATGGGCAGCTGTATAAATGGGGCTAAAGTACATAAGTGCGAGCGGCTCGGTGCTGCGCCTTCTTCAAGTTTTTCCAACTCGGACCGGCGTTTGTACACCCTCCGGGCACTTCATGACACGAGGTTGTAATTCCGCCGCTCGCGATGCAAGCCCCAGAAACACACACACACACCCTCGAGTGGAGTCGTTACGGAATTATAAAAAAAAAAAAATGCGTTTCCTTGTTTTGTGGGAAAATAGTAATGTCAATGCTTCTACAGGAGCAGGACCTCAAAATACAAGAAGTCGCTGGAAACGAAAGAAATTCGCCGAGAACGAATAAAGGAAAAACCCTAAAAAGCGCGCGTTGAAAAATGAAGAAAATCCCGACTCCTGGTTTGGTCAAAATTTCCTCGAAGGATTTTCGAGGAAAAGAGCGCAGCCGACGGTTCGACAGGAGGCAGGACCTCTGAATTCTAGGAGTCGGCAGGAATCCCGCCGTAAAGCATCGGGATCCTGGAGGATTCCGAAGGCTCGGGGCCTCTCTCGCCCATTCGCGGGAGGGAGAAAAAGAGATTTACGAAGTTTTCAGAGGGCGCACTTTTGTCACGGCGAATTTCGTCCGGCCGGCTCGCTCGGGAAAATGGGGGAAAAGGCTACGAGACGGAGAAAAAGGAGCGCCAACTTCCCTCGGGGAACTCCTGCGCGAAATCGCCTCGCGCTTTCATCGGTAACCGCCATTTTTCCGGTGGTCCAATCAATCTTTCGCCCTCTCTTCCCCTCTCAGAGGAGGAGGAGGTCGTGCCAATCGAAGACTTCCTTTAGAGAACACGTCCAAGTCCTATCGGTCGCGAATTAACCCCGCGAGGTTCGATCGCCACCCCTGGACGCCTCCGGGGAATGATTTCCAACGACAGGCCCCATTAATATTAAAACGGGGAATATATTAAATTTAATCAGCTCTCGCCTTCCCGCTATGCCGATGCCTATCGATGCCCTGTATTGACCACGGTCGCCACGTGGATGCGTTACTTAAACTTAATCAACCGACTGTTAACTTTACGGCGAGGCTTGAATTAACCCGCTCGCTAACCGAGCAGTTGTGATAAGACGCATCTCTATATGTACATAACTTCAATGATATCCCGATAAAGTCATAGTACCTAAGAACGACTTCACCGACGAGACTGGAATTTCGGGCGCACCATATTTCAACCTAACATGGGAAGTTAAATTAACTCGTGAGAGAATCGAGGAGTTACGATAAGGGTTTCCACTTTTCTTCAACTACGTTTCAACATTTAAAGGGCACTTAAATCAACCCGGGAAATATTTAAGGAGTTACGATGATAGTACGCACTTTTCAACAGAATCTTGAACCGGAGCCCGATAAAGTTAAAGTACCTAAGAAGAGTCTCACTAGTGACTGTCATCGTCATCTGTGAGACTGAAATCTTGGGACCACTGGACCGAATGCTTCGGAAACTCGTTAAGCAAGAAACCAATGAAAATAAAGTTCCCTCGATCGGCGTAACGCGAAGGAACCGCGAAGTAGATGCCAATGGCGGAACAAACCGAGGAATAGAAACTGATCGATAGAGGAAATGTCGGCGACCTCCCGAGGAATATACCGTCGATAATCGCATATCTCCGTATCTCTAGTTACAGCTCGTTCCATAGATAGCGAGCCAGAAGCGGAGGGGAAGGCTCGTTATCCGATTTTCGATCCTCCCGAAACGAAGTAGCCCGACTATCGTATGTCCATACCGATAACGCGATCGATGAACTTGGCTTAATACCGAAAGTTTGCCGAAGATCTTTTCCACTCCGACTCCCATTCGGCGGGTACAACCCCTCGAAGCCCAAGTTAAAACAAAGATATCGCTCGGCAAACGAAAACGAAGTATAATGTGCTCTAATCTCGAGGGTACAGAGGAGTTGCAGAATTTTCCCATGCCCACAGGGACCAGAATTTATGGGGACGTGAAAATGCCATCCGAGGGGCCAATCGCAAAACTTTTCCCCGGACCGGGTGTACCGAATGCTATCAGGACAACTCGGCAGAGTTTCGCGCCAAATACATTTAATAAGAGCACTCATCGTGGACATGTATTTGGCACAATGAAAGTACGTTCCATTCTGTAGAGCCTGTAATATTTTCAGATTTAAATCTTACAACGTGAATACCAAGACCCTAGGGAAGGTCTTGAGGCCCATAAAATCCCTTCAAAAAAAATTAAAAAAAACAAACTAGTTCAAATTTGAAATTTCCTCAGGGTCAGGACCTTCCTTACAGTCTCCGTGTTCACGTGGTAGGGTTTTAAGCGATTCGGTATACCCAATTTGGGGGGAAGTTTGAAAAGCGATAACTGCGACTCCACTTTCGCATCGCCTTAAGAGGGGCGCGATCAGCTAGGACCTCGTCCGTGTCTAAAGGGGTTGACAATTTCAACGAGCTGACAATCACGCCTCTAGGATTTTAACTTCGGCTCCTTTGTTGTCTCCCATCGGCGGCCGGGATTTCTTTCACGAGGAAGATCGATCATCCGGCGAATATTCATGAAAGTTCACCCAAGGCCCCTTACGACAAAGTGTTCCGTACTTGCGGCACGCGAATCGCGCTGATGCGGCATAATAAGCTCGGGATAATAGGCCAGGAAAAACATTTATGCCGACGACACGAATATACTTCGGCCGGATATCCGAGGATGACAAGAGGCCGCGGCTTTGTTGGAATAAGGCCATCAAAGCCGCGGCTTCTAAACAGTTCAAAGGGCAGACAAATCACAAACATCGCGCTGGAAAATATTCGAGATATAGTGCAGGCCAAGCTTTTTCGAATATACAATGCTCTGAAATATCGTACACAATATTCCATATCGAGACTTCGTTATGTCGTAAGGGACTTTAATTAATTATAAATCTCGGACAAGTTTCGCGAGGACCATCAGAGTAGTTGTAGCTCTGATAATCAGACCTTCCTGAAGGTGCCAACGAATTAGGTCCCCCCGTTAATGACTGGGTAATGCGGCGAGATGTGTTCGCGAGGTATAATCAAAGTTGTAACGAGTTCCATATGTGGCATCCCATTGACCCGTGGAGGAGATTAACTAATAATGGCTTGGCACCTAAGTCTAGAAACAATTAACATCGCTAACGCAGCCCCTGCGTCTAAATTCAGCTCGAGTCGCACCAACCAACTAACGAGGATACATTTACCGAAATTCTCTCGCCATCGCGAACCCATTAACATTAAGAAAATCCCGCGACACAGGCAAAGGCCGATAAAAGGTGGAAAAATGTCCACGTGAACCGTTATCAGACATAACCCGAGGATAACTCCAAAAGGAGGGCGCAAGTCCTCTCTTTGCGTTTGACCAGGGAAATTGTTTCACCGCAGGATTATGAGAACTAATTGATGCCGAAGGCGAGAATTAATTGTGTCTTAAAGTTCTCCCCGGCGACGAAGCACTCGAAGATATTCGACGGAGAGGAGCTCGTTCGGTTGGTGACATTAATTACACCTAAAGAGAGACTTCAACGCAGGAGATGAGCGGCACTTAAGGGCGTATCGCAATAAATTAAATCTCTCCAGAAGGTCCTCTGCCGGAAGTGACAATAAAGGGAGGAGTAAAACCCGCCGGATCGGTGGAAAGTGCAACATCGAACACCGTTGTCGGGATTATTAATTCATCTTCGGACGATTCAGGAGATATAGAGGCTCGAGGTGCGGCCGCCATCTTGGACGCGAAGACCAAGATGGCGGCCGACCCAAGCCCGATGGACCCTTTCGGGCCCCTCGATTTTACCATTCGGAAGCTGTTATTCCCGTGCGGTGATGTGCGACCAGCTCCATTAACTATGGCCGACATTTGATTACAATTGAATGTAGGACAGCCAACGATGCGAACATCCTCCTGGAGGATGTTTCGCATTTCATCACCAGCGTGCATTGTCCCGGCAGAGGGAACGTCCAATGTACATCCGCGAGCATCCTGCATCGACGCCGGCCCTTTCCTTCGATTTTAATTAATAAACAGAATTTCCCGGGGATTATGCAACGCCGAAGTAGGCCGCCAGTCGGTTTTCCTCGACGTAATCGATGGTTATCCGTGAAAACGACGCCCTTTGTAATCAAACTCCTCGTTCCTCGCTTTATATACGGCAGCAGATCGATCACCGCCCTCTTTTAAGAACGTCTTAACAAGGACATCCACCTATCCCGCGTGATATCGTTGAACAAGAATCGAAGTATTCAAGGGGTACTGACATAACGGACAGTCATCAAAGGGTCCCACCCTCGTGGATCATTATACGCAGGACCTTCTCACAGCTCCGGATCGAAGCCCCATTCTTTTCCAAGGCCGCCCCATGAAGGACTCCTCCCAGAATGACCCTTGCACAGAAGCCTCTTCCCGTTAAACACCGTAGAATCATTAACCCCATCATCATTAAAGCCCATCCCAACAAAAGTCTGCACCCATCGATATCGCCCAATCGACACTTAATCAAGACACTGTTCGCTACTCCCTTCTAAATCCCCCTAATTAATTCCTAACCCCTGACCCACCTGCCCGAGGTGCCCCGACCTGCGACCTACCTGTCGCAAGATACGCACTTAACAATTAGTCTCTCCTCCACAATCATTCATCAAAACCTCACACAGTCCTTATCCTATTCGGCACCGATTTCCGTCCCGACATTCACCCCGAGGTCTACGACATCGCTCCTGCTTCCTTCCCTCCACCCAAGGAGGCGATCCACCTACCCCAGGTGATATCGTTGAACCAGAATTGAGAAGTGGACGGCGGCCCGGTAGAGTGTTCCTCGACCCTGAGGGAAGACACCGAGTGAGGGTACTCCATCCCTGGGTAGTACATCCCATGGAGCAAGCACCCGCTGGTGCCAGGCTGTCCCAGATAGGCGCTATCAGGATAGATGATCTCGGAGGGTAGGTTGTCATCCAGCTCGACCTCGGAGCACTCTTCCTCTAGGTCGTCCCGCCTGGGGATGATCCTGGACGCAGCGATGGGCGGGAGGACCTCGGTCCCAGGGCTCTCAGGTCTAATTTGGTAGCTGTTCTGGGGAACGTGCGGCTGCTCGTAGTCGGCGGACTCGCTGCCCGGGGAAGGCGGATAGTTGGGCCCCAGAGCCTGGGAGGGTCTAGGCTGAACGTGATCCCTGGGAATGAGGCCCACCTGGGGCCCCTCAGGCCCAGCACCCGAGGCCCTGGACCGCGCGACGACTGCAGCGGAGGCAGCGGCCACCGCTGCTGTCGCAGCCGAGTACGAGTAGAACGAGCCGCCCTTGATCATCATTCCGCAGAAGGGTGTTTCCTCGGCGGAACTGCCCGCTGCTGCGCCGCTCCCCGGCTCAGCCTGCTGCTGCACCTGCTGCGTCCCGGAGCTGGTCTGCAGGCCTTCGCATACCTGCTGCTGCTGTTGAGACTGCTGCGACTGCGGGTACTGCTGGGAGTACTGTTGCTGCTGCTGCTGCTGCTGATACAGCTGGCTGTGCTTGTCCTTCTCTCTCCTGGGGGACCTGCCCCTGTCGCTGACGGACGTCGCACTCCAGTATCCCCACGCCATGTTCCCAGGTGGTCCCAGTCGACCCCGGCCAAGAACCTCGGACCCAGCCGACCGCTCGAACGACCTCTCAGCTCCCACTTATTCGCACCAGGGGCCGAGGATCGACCAGGAGCCCGAGCCTGGTGGGACCTGCTGCCTCCTGAGGCCAGCCGCTCGCCGCTTCCTGGGTCTCTTATCAATCTGCGACCTGGACTCTCACGAAACTGGCTTACGGGGCCGAGATGGATATCGACTGCAGCGGAAACGTTACTGGCGCCGCCCGGCGCGCGCTGCGCGGCTCGCTCCGCACGCGCATGTCCGTTGCGCCGCAATACCTGAAGACCCGTCACACGGCCGCCCTGTGGAACGTGCCGGTAGGTGGGGCTACCCAGTGTGGGTGCGGCTCCCACATAGAAAACGACCGGCTAAGCCGAACTCGAATGTAGTCTCCCCGTTTGCTCGATTTTTTGCGGAAAATATCGATTGTTAGCTAATGCTCCTTCGCCAGGAAGACGCGGTTGCGATCCCTTCCCCGCTAGCCGAGGAATTGCAAGTGGACGCGATAGACGAGGTACTTTGATTCGGAGGTGGTGAGCTCGAAGAGCAGATCCACCCACGTGGAAAATCACCGGCCTGGGGGTATCCTCTTGTTACATTAGGTTCCGCCTTGATTTAAACCTCAAAATCCAATCATTCCGTCACTACTGCGGGAACTATCGATTTTTAGGCGATGTTCATTCGACGGAAAACCCGGCTCGCGGGTCTTGGGATTCTTTGGCAGCTTGGGGAGAAATTGCAAATGGACGCACCTCGTATCGGATGTCGGGAGATATTTGTACATGGACTTAATGGTGGGTTTTAAAATTGAATCCTCGGTAAGTTCCTAGGTGTTTGGGTTTGGTCTCGTTGGTAGCTGTCTTCTGTAAGTAGTCCGTGATGACTTGGGCATTTGCATTCAGCGGATATAGACGTGTCCTCCCCTAAGGGTCCGCCAAAGACGTCACGGGGCATTCCTTCTTTACGACAGTCCAGGGGAGTTTTTTCTTGCGCCGGTCCCCTTGTATCATCCGTAAAAACTCGCTCGAACGACGCTTCTTCCCGATTCTTGGTCAAGGACATAAAGGGAACGTCATACCTCATCGGGCTTAACGTTTCCGCCCCGTTCTAGGCGATAAACTCCGCCGAGCCACCGTACCAGGGTCTCTTTTATTCATCCCGCGGGAATAGCAGATTGCAGAAAATCAAGCCAGGAGAATTGAAGCGATAACTTGGAGCCGTGGAAATAAAATCGTCCCGAACGTGCCACGGTGTCGGCATCGTCAGGTCCGTAAAACGCGTTAACACCGACATCGGTGAATGACAATTGTTTAAGCCTTAATTCCCTATTTCTCTCCGGGTATCTACGCAACAGCCCGTTCGTTGTTTAACGAACGACCGTCGACCAGCTGGAAGGAAATAATTATTCCGGCGGGAAGAAAAATGGCACGCCAGCTCGAGGCTCGTCGGGGCGGTCGCAATGGTCCGACTTGGCGACGGCAAAACGGCGCAGGTCTCCGGAGTAAAACTGCGGCCCGATTTCCGGCCAGAATGGACCAATGGTACCGAAGCACCAGGAGAAATGTCACCGCGGTGCCGCGCCACCGTTCCACATAGTCCTGTGCCAGGATTTTCGAGGACAGGGTCACGCGTCCTATTTAAAGACCCGTCCTAATCTTCGGGCGAAATTGGCTGGACAAACGAGACCTCCGGCTCTCCCTCGAACCGAGGAAAATGAAGGAGCCATTGTTCTTCCGGCTCTTTTGTCGACCTTTTCACTGTGTGGCCGCTCCTGCGAGTCGGTCTCCCAGGTACAAGGACCAGGAAGAGCATAAAAAGAGGTGGAGCTCGGAGCAGGAGGATGCGATCAATACGGCGGTATAGAATAATCGTTAATCCTACGGCTCTTCAAATATTCCCTCGATAACGGCATTATCCCACGGGCAGATAACAAGATAGAGGCGTGCCGCCGTCCTCGAGGACGGACCGCCTCATCCAGGACCTCCAACTCCTGGAGGAGAAGGTACCCACTCGGCCCCGTTTATATCATAGGATTTTCATTTATTTCTCCATACATACCGTGGATCGTTATCTCCGTGTCCTTCTCCAGCTCGTGCAACCTCAGGGCCTCGTCCAGCTCCTGCTGGGAAGCTATCCGACAGGGGTCGCCCTCGTCGTCCACCCACTTCATGGTGAACTGATCGGGTCCTGCCGCACCGAATCCGCAGATCGTCCGCATCTCTTCCCTGAGGGTGTTCACCGATATCCCGGCAGTGATGTACGTGATCTGCACTTCCCTGGGAACAGGAAATCCCATCCATAGGGTTACAAGAGTTGCACCCCGCGGTAGCTGGGAAGAATACCCCCAGAAGGGGTGAGAACTTCTTCGCCTAACACCTTTTCAAAATAGTTTGATTTAAAACAAAAGAAAGGAAATGATATTCTCTTAATTACGAAGAAGATACGTTTTAGTTCCTTTCACCCCGATCAACCTGAGCCATTAATATTAATTGGTGTGATCAGCCGAAGGATAATGTCCAGTGAATTTTGTCATCTCGCTCAAGCATCCCTTTCCATATTTCGGTACGTATAACAATATTATACGTTTGAGTCGACAACAGCTTTTTAATATTTTCCTACGTGGAAGAGGAACCCAACGTTCCCCTCCACCTCTATGAAAGGGCTCCTGGAGTGAACCTTGTAATTTACATGGAGTCGTAATTCTGATTAGCGATACAAGCTTCCCAGATCTTTCGCCATAGATACTGGAAGGTTCGTCTTCCGGACGTAACGGGTGGATAAGATGCATCTCGACTCATAACGCGTTAAGCTTATATAAATACGGTGGTAGATCGCATCGAGCATATCGATTACCCATTATAGACGATTTTCACACGTATGTCGTCGTTCTCCGTCGTCTGCGTGGGCATTATCGCTCCCTGGTCTGGCGGCCCCTTCCTAAAAATGGAAAAACAAATGGAACGTTAGAAGAGACCTCGTAAAGGCGAGCAGGTCTTCCGGCATTGTCGGAGACCCGATCACCAAAGGTTAAAAAAGCCTCCCCGGTTTTTCCGAAGTGCATCAATCTTGGTCGGTAATCCGCCCCCTCGTAAACGAATTTCGAATCCTTTCGCATCCTCTATCGCCGGGCCCCTTTCTCCCTCGAACTTTAATCTCTCTCTCTCTCTATTTGCTCATCTTTTTCCAGCCACTCACGGGGAGCAACTTAACGGAGAACTCGCCAAGCTAATTATCCGACTTTTCCTCGTTCCCGCCGCCATTAATGAAAACGGGGGCAAGCCTCTTCAGCGAAATTAATATCCTTCCTTCTGCTCATTTTCAATCCCCTCTCGTCGGTTTCGGATCAAAGAATGATCTCGACGAGGACTAATGCGAACGTTAACGATGCATGCTCGGTTCTGGTCGAGGACCGTTGCCCGAAGGTGGAAAGGAACCCCGTTGTTCTTTACGTTTCCGCCATCAACGCGCCACGTGGAATCGTTCTAGAGGCACTTCCTGGTGCACTCGATGGGTTGACTCCAAAATCCCAAGACTACGTACCGTGATAGAGGAGATAAGAGATTTCCTGCAAGACGAGTGCGGTGTTTCGCAGTCCCCCCCCTAATATAATTATTAAACCGATCACACCCGGCGGAGTAATCGATATACAAAGCAGCTACCGATGAGCTGACCCACAACTTCACACTTTACTATATTACAGCTATGTTAGTTCCTGCATTAACGGATATGCAATGAAATTCTCAGGATTTGAGGCAGTTAATGGACGGATATTAAAAAACGAAAAAAGATGCCCTCCTAATTCAGGGTTATAGATTTCAGAAATGCCGATATTTTTTATACCAAATCCCCCTGGAACCCTGTAGAGGCCCACTGATTTTAAAATTCTGTCGTTACAGGTGTTCCCGATGTTGACATTTTTGTTAAAACCGCGCAAGAGTTGAAAATCGAGGGTTTTCGATATCTGATCTTGGACGTAGAGTCTGATTCTTGATTTCATGTTAATAAAATCTAAGGATCCATTAATTTAACTTCCTATAAATCCCATGTAATATTCCGTCGCGTTGGCAACCGCGCCTTTCAACTTTAATCTTCTTATTTTCTCTATTCCTATTATTCACTTTAAAAGGCACCACCATGAAAACAATTTCCAGTTACAAAGTAGCAACCTAGGCTACTTCGCCGTGGAGTCGCTAAAATTGGTTACCAACCCGGCGTTCAGAGTTAATTCATTTCTCCGCAAGGAACGCATTTCCTGGTTTCAACTCCCGGAAACCGATCCTCACCGGAAATTCGTTTTTCGCGCTGTTCCGGATTCCGCGACCGCCCACTAACGGCACCACCTCCGCCCGTGCGGCGGCTCGGCGATCCGGCAACACTGGGGAGTCGTCACTCTCTCGCGGACCGTCGTCGAGGTCGGATCTCCGGGCCGGCGACCGAGTCTCCCTGTACCACAGGTTCAGGTCTGCCGGTGAATCGCAACTGAGCGGCTCTCCGATCTCCTCCTCCTTATGGCACTGACAGATACGATCTGGAGAGTGCAGAACGGTTTCAGCGGAAATAAAAGCGCCCGAGACCGGAGCGAGTCGGACGAGATCCGCGTCGAACCGGTGGCAAAACGAGCCGTCCATTGGCCGGCCCTAATTGGCACTCGGCCCCATTAACCTTATTTCGCGGGCATTACGCGGTTTTGCACAGCCCTACCCTGCCACACGACTGACTCACCGTGGTCTGTCCAGTACGCTCGCGACGCGCTTACGACTCTGCCTGGCAATCCTAGCCAGCGCCTCCTGGGGTCTCCCTAGCTCCCGGGGTAAGCCCAATCCCTTGGGAACTCGCCTCCGGGCTGTCTGGAAGATACGACCAACTCAAACTCTGGTATAACGGCATCAAATCAAAAAGCGAACACTAGTGGACGGACGCCGTGTCACTTGCCGTCGCCATCTTTGTCGGGGCGGCATCATGGC